TCAGGGCTCTGCCTCAGCAATGGATGAATGAATGCAAAGGGGCTGGACGGAGGGGCTGGGCCTGGGCGCCCTTTGGTGGGCAGCCACGTGGCACCATCTTGGATCTTGGACATGTAGACCAGACCCTGACTGGACCTGCAGGAGCCATCACCTTGGGCTCCCTGGTCTCAGATCTGGGAGAAATGTATTTGTGTTCTTTACAAATCACCCCGCCGTGGCACAGCAACATCTTCCCTCTGTGTATCTGCATCCAAAGTCCCCTTCTTAGGAGCTTGGGTGGGAACCCATCTGATGACCTCACTTCCTGTCTCCAAATGAGGCCACATTCGGAGTTCCTGGGAGTCAGGACCACAACATACCTTTCAGAAAGGTGCACAGCTCAACACAAGCCGGCACCTGCTGGTTCTCAGGGCCCCGAGGACACCTTGGGCTGTCGGCAGTGCGGGTGGCCCTTCCTTCCCCTCCTGCCTCCCTTGGGGATGACCCCGCACTCAGGGAGGCTCCTGGGCTCAGACCATGGGTGGAGCCAGCGCCCTCTGCCAGGTGTTCACATGCGCATGCGGGCTGGACATCCATTCTCGTGGTTTTGTTCCAATTCGTTGATTTTGTTGCGGAATTTCAAGGGACAGGAGAGACCAAATGGGAACCAGGAGGATATACCACAGGTGAACGCTGGCTTCAGCAGACTCGAGTCCCAAGGCTGAGAGACTGAGCAAAGGGAAGTTCAGTTTTTATTTGTTTAGTGGAAGGGGTAGTCTTTCTAGTGCTGCAGTAAGCGAGTTTATCTGAACAGGGCAAGGTGCACAGTTGAGTGAGCCTGGGAGGACAGTGCCTTAGGATAGTGCGGGAGCAGAGCAGAGCGTCATAAACTCTGCGTATAGGACACAGTTGTTACAGAGCGCAGGACCTCACTGACAGGACCGTGACTCTCCCTCACCGTGTGGGGCCGGTAGTTACGGGGCAATGTGGGGGCTGCTGAGCTGCTTTCAGCTGGAACGGGTTTTCTTTTAAATTCTGCTTTCACTTCTGAACCAGGCAGTCCGCAGCCAGGGCTTGACTTTCAGGGAGAGTTGGGGCTCCTTGGATGGGCACAGGGGCGATTGTGCCGAGTGAGGGTAGTGCCAGGCGGGAGGCGATGCCTGCTGTCCCAGTCAGCCAGGAGCCTCCTCACACCGCGCCTGCTCCCTAGAAGGACAGCATGACGCTGCATTTGCATATTCACGGCATGTTTTCTTCCTGCCTTCCCATGGCTTTGGGCTGCTCCGCTCTGAGTCCCACTGCAACTCCTCTGTTCCTGGCGGTTGGCAGGAGTGGGAGGCAGCTGGCGTCAGGCCTGGTGCAGCAGGGCAGGGGCTGATGCTGTCCTGACAGACGCCCGGGTGCTCAGCCAGGGAAGGAACCGGCCCAGCTTCTGGTGGCGCCCTGCGGATGTGACCGAAGGAGGAGGGACGCCGGCTCCTGCAGAGACTTCCAGGACTCTTCCTGGAGAGCGCCTCGTCCCTGCGGCTGTCCTGAAGTAGGCATGGTCACGGAGCCTGGCTCTCCTGGACAGCAGTGCTGCTGGCTGGGCACTTGCAGCGCAGCCGGTGGCCAGGATCCAGGTGTGCGGGGCTCCAGGGGCCCAGGCGCCTCTGTCTTCACTGCAGCCCTCAACTTTGGAAGAGAAAACCAGGGGCTGCAGGAGGGGTTAACAGAATCGAAGTTTCACAGCCGTTTTTTGTTTTGTTTTTGGTACTGGGAATGGAACTTGGGACCTTGTGCTTTCGAGGCAGGCGGTGGCACCACTAAGCTAAATCCCCAGCCCCCACTGCCATTTTTATATGCACTGGCAGAGGAAAAAAGGATGCATCAGTCAGGGCTGCCTTGTTTATTTATTTATTTTTATTTTTCTGAGACAGGGTCTTGCTAAATCGTTAAGTTGTGCTGGCTAGGTTTGAACTGGGGATTCTCCTGCCTCAGCCTCCCAGGATATTGGGATTACAGGCTTGCACCCAGTCTAACAGTCATCGTGTTAGTTTCCTGGGGCTCCCATGCACACTGGTGGCATCAAAGCAATTGAACTTCATTATCCCAGAGTCCTAGATGCTGGAGGCCAGAAATTGAAGTGTCAGAGGGGCACTGCTGCTCCTGACTCTGGGTGGAAGCCATCTTTGTCACTGTGCAGTGCCTGGTGGTGGCCGCCGATTCCTGGTTCTTCCTCAGCAGCTGGGACACCCTGATCTCTGCCCCCGCATGCACATGATGTTCCCCTCATCCCTGCGTTCAGGTTTCCTTTGGCTAACAAGGACACCAGCCACTGGCTTGGGGTCCTCCCCAATCCGCTATGGCCTCATCGTAACCTCCTTATACCTGCAGAACCCAAATTCCCATTGAGGTCTCCACCCCAGGTGCAGGAGGTCAGGGTTCCATGTATCTTCTGGGTGGCACAGTCCAGCAGCATGTGCCCCATGGTCCTCTCATGGACTCCTTGTCTGCTCACCTCTGAGAAACCCTACTGTGCAAATGCAGGGAGCTGGGAGACACTGAAGATGGATGGTCTCACTGCGGGGCTTTGGGATTGGCTTTTCAGCCTTTACTTTATTTTTCCTGATAAGGATAAGGAAGGGTTTTGGTCTCTAGGAGTCAGGTGAGTTTCCCAGAGGGTGTTCTGCAAGTGGGTTGGTCCTCACCGCCCCCCGTGCCGGGGCAGCGCACGCAGACCCGCAGGAGGGTCACGGAGGGGCTGTGAAAGGGCCCCCTCATTCTGAGTGTGGATGGAGTGTGGACAGGATCGATGCGGTTCTCACACTGCACCAGAGGCACAGGGTTGGTAATAATGTTCTTTCCCGGCAGTGCACAAGTCCAGAAGGAAACCCCGAGTAGCTTGGGAGGTGACTCACTGGTGTCAGCTGCGTTGTTCTCACCTTCCTTTGGGAAGTGGCCGTCGCTTGTCTAGTGTCACAGCCCAGGGACGGGAGCTGTCTCTGGGACTTTGTCTGTGTTGTGTGTCTGACTCTTGGCATTGGAGGAGTGAAGGCGGTGGATGCTGTGACCTCAACCATATCCCAACCACGCAAGACGCCGGCTCCGTGGACATTGTCCAGCAAGGGGGCAGGGAGACCGAGGGAATCTGCTCCATCTTCCAGTGGGCTGGCATCTTGCGTGGTTGGGATAAGGTTGAGAACACAGAGAGAAGCTTGTGGGACACTTCCTGCCATCCACTGGGGCCCCGGATGTACATGCTGAATCTTTGGCAGTCTTACTAAGTTGCAACCTTGGGCATAAAAATACAATATAAATGAAAAAGTGCAAGTATCATGACAATTTTACACAAAACTTTTTTTTTTTTTTTTTTTTTTTTTTTTTTTTTT